GACTTAGACCAGAACTGGGACTGTGTCTACTGACTTCACTTTCGGACAGGCACAACTCTAAACGAACAGACACATTTACTACTTGAACAGGCACTTTCCATTGCACGAACAGGTACACTGCCTACACGTACAGACACACCCTTACTCGAACAGACATGACATACACATCTCCTGGTGAACAGGTAAGTCTTTTGACAATGCCCTTTGCCTTAGATTTAGATGTGCCTGTTGATAGAGAACTTGACTTTTGACCTGTTTTCACGTTTCTGAGCCCTGGCAAGATACCTTTTCACAATGCTTTACTTTTACAAGGCCCGTGCTGCTCTATTTTTACAAGGCCTGAGGCCTATATCGGGTAAAGGCCCTTTTAAGAGGGCAAGCTGACAATCAATCCTCCTGCAAGGGAGTAATCAATGCTGGTCAGGGATCCTTCAGCTTGACGGAAGGAAGTGTGAGTGTGTATTATATGTAAATCCTTTGACTTGCCGGGGGAATAGTAACCGGACTGACGCTCCCCAGAATGGAAAGGAGCCAGAACCATAAGGACCTGTTTTTTTTAAAAAAAAAAAAAAAAAAAAAAAAAAAAAAAAAGCTTTCCTCCTCTGCTATTCTTCTCTCTCTTTGCCTAAGTTCTGGCCTACTTATGCTGGTGACAATCTTCATGTGACTTGAGAACACATATGGTGCGGAAATTGTGAGCTACTCATATGAGGGTTCATTACAACTATCCCGTCAAAACATGGCAGTGCACTATTCAGCTAGTGTTAGTCGTATTGTGACACCATTCTATTATATTCCTACAATGTGCACAATACAGCTCTAGTGAGCGCTGCAGAGCAGAATGAAGTGCAGGGGATTCTAATGTTGTTGTGCTCGTGCATGACATGCCGCAGAGGAAAGGACTGCCAGATTGGGAACATGGACAAGAGGATGAGCAGAAGAACAAAGATCCTTGCCACACACCTGAATCCAGGCACTCTGGGACACATATGCCACTGACCCGCATGTCATGACCTGCAAAGACAAAAAATTAGAAATGACACACGAGATGTCAAATACATCTCAAAGTGTTTGCCGTTGGCCTTACGAATACTAATAGAGAAGAGAACAAACGCAGAACCCATTCTTTGAGGGTAAGCCAGAGCGCAAAAACCTGTGGAACATGTACAGAGCATACTTGCGGCGCATTTGTGCGGTGCGCGATGCGGTGCGCTGCGCCATGCGGACTGCGCGCGGTGACACTGAGCGCGCACGTGCACCGCGTGGGGACGCGCTACCCCTGCGAGGTGCGC